CAGGAAAAGATGTTCTAAAATCGTGGATTTTATTTTTTGTCTAGACATTATTTCTATTCATTTATATTATGTTATAAGAAAACAAAAATGCATTTTTATTCATCTTCATGTAATAAAATTTGTACGAAAAAAATTGAAATTTTGTCAAGTGGCACGCTAGCATAAGTAGTATCGTAAAAGAAAAGAAAAATAATTCCCTCACGAAGAATCGAACGTTTACAACACGCGTGAGAAGCATGGAATTAGGAATTATCGCTATCGCCTAAGCAAATAGAAAGAGAGAAATATCCATTTCTTTTCTCACCAGCACTCGAATTCACGACCGAGAGACCCCAAGATAAAGCACACTAGCTCGCTCGCCTGTAAAGACCAACGAAGCGGCGTGGCTTGCCCCCTCTCTTACAATTACCTTTCACCTTCATTTTCTCGCTTATTTTTGCAAATACGAAGATACACYTTASWACATTTTTTATGTATTTTTCAATTCTCTACAACTTTTGTTTAAAACTTTTTTCGATTAAATGCCTAAATTTTAAGATATGGCTTTTTTACCCTTTTTTACCTTTTTTCTCAAAGATCTCCTGATCCAATTGCAAAAAAATTAGCATCATTCGATTCTGCGTCGTCGAGTTACCATTATATCAAATTTTTGGCCAAGAAACACAATTAGCTCAGTTTTTCTTTAGTTGACCAGAGTGACATTTTTCGGAGCAAGGGCTCCGTTCAGTGCCGCTACTCTGGCGGCACGGTGGTCCGTACAGCAGCGTCACTTCGACGGAGCACACTTCCGTAGTGAAAGGGTTAATGAAGAATTGATTAAGTATAACGGCGTAATTTACTTTGTATTTGTATAAACATAGCGAACTAACAATCGCAATAAGATTATCTATAGTTGTGTTCCAATATATAAATACATGATTTTATAGAAAATATAATGTAAAATTATAATTATTTAACAGGAATAAATTTTACTCGAAGTGGTTTAGAAGAGCTTAAGGTTATATCTGTTGCCATTACAATATCATCAATGTTATCGATTGGTTCCAAGTAAAAATTTCGCACTATATGTGCTACTATCAGTTTAAGCTCTAACATTGCATATTTTTGACCTATAATAAAATAAACACGTATATAGATAGATACATTTGTTAACAGTACTTATGACATTTACCAATACAGTTTCTTGGGCCTGCGCTGAATGGAATATATGAGTAAGGATAATGTCCTTTAACATTTTCTGGCAAAAATCTATCGGGATCAAAAACATTAGGATCTGGCCAATATCTTGGATTTCTGTGTACACTATATATTTGAACAGTGCATATTGTTCCCGACGGGATTAAATAATCATCTAAAAATTGATTAA